AATAGGATGCAAACGAGAATGCTTGTTAGCGAAACTGCTCTCATACGAATCGTTCTCGTTGGTATTCTCTTTCTCTTTCTTTTTCATTGTATGTGTGTGTGTATGTATGTATGTATGTATGTGTGTGGTGGAGGAAAAGAAATAGGAAGAGAAAGAGAAAGAGAGAGGAAGAGAGACGAGGTCGATGCATAGCATGAAGGATGTTTACTCATTACAGGTAAACACAATCCATCATTCCCTTTTCCAACCCTTAACCTCCCACCACCCCCTCCTGCAACATAGTCCTTCAGAAGCATCCTTCGTCGAATTGCAAAGATCCACGTGAACGAAGGCTCTTAACACAGTTCGTTCTCATGCATATTATTCTCAAATTAATATCTCGTTTTTTTTTTCCTTCGCAATTCTTATTTCATTAACTTTTTATTTGTTTGTTTAATTTTGTTTAATTTTTTTTTATTTGTAATTTAGTCTTTATAATACGTATAGCATATGTGAACGATATTAGATGATAATTTATAATACAATAATTGTATTGTTTTTTTTTTTTTCATTTATTTTATTTAAGAATAATTGAATGCAATGTGTTTATAGAAAATAATTGAAATATACGTAAAAGTAAAATTAGCAGAAATTATTTTCGTGAGTATTCTTAGCTAATGGTTATTGTAAGCATGCTTTTAGATAGTAAAGTTTGTAACGCAATATTCACTAACAAGAAATACTCACGAGAATAATTTTTAATAGTTTTACTTTTATAGATAAAAGTTTGCATTAGTATTTAATACGATAATAACGTGTTTTGTTTGTTAATGATATTTGTTAAAAAAAAAAAAAAAAAAAGTTTGTCATAGTAAGAAAATGATGTTTGATTTTAAACGAACAGATATACTATTTTGGGTTTTGTTTTTTTTTTTGGTTTCTTCTTTTGAAATATCTTTGCATTTGATTTTAAATGGTGAATGATACATTTTGAGAGGAATAAAAAGATTTACAAAAAGTTATTCGATTAACGTGAATGGGTAAACATTGATTTACCATCGTCGTGAATTTCCTCTACGGTGGCAAAATTATTGAAATAATAGAAATATATTTCACTCGAGTGAGAAAATACAGTTTCGTTATCGATATCATATACCCCACAAGTAACAATGATTGAAAGCAATGGAGAAAAAAAAGAAAGTGGTATATGATCAATGGAACATTATTTTCTTGTGTGGCTTGAAAATTTTGTTAAACGATTATCAATGCTTTAACCCTCTGCCCCATAGTTCAAAGCATCACTGAAATCCCATTAAATCGTTTCGCTAACTGCAAGAAAAGATGATGGAAAATTATCAAATGTTCTCTGTTTTTCTTTTTTTGTTTTCTTTTTTTTTTTATCACCAATCGATGCACTAGGGTATTATTACGTTTTTTCCAACAAAATCAATTGACGATAATAAAATGAGAACATTTGTTCAACAAATTAATAATTATTGACAACAATATTATGTAAAATTGTTTATTAATAATAATAAAAAAAAAATAAAAAACAACGCGATTTAATTATTAAATGTAACAGAGATGTATTTCAAATTGATAAAGAAAAGAAATATATATTTGTGATTATAATGAAAAAAAAACACACACAAAACGTATGGATATGCAAAAACGCCATTATACGATAGTGAATTTAAACGTATAAATAAAAAATATTAATTATAATGCAAATTTCAATGAAATACATATAACAAAATATTATCTACAATTTATTTACGAAAAAAAAAAAAACAAGAAAAGTAATATTTCAAGTATAATCAAATATTAAAAGAATAATATTTCAATAGAACTGTGATTATCAAACGATCATCATGGATTATTAACGATGTGTTAATGTAAAAAAAAAAATCAATTGAATAATTGAATTTGTTAATTACTTTACTTATCACATAGATGAATGTCGTATTTAGATGTTCGTATAAATAATTCGAAAAAGCCGATTACCGATTATCACGGAAACTAAAGCAACACATTTTGCACACGCTCTATTCGCGTGTGGAAAATCACGAAAGTTGTATGTTCTAGTTTTGTTTACACGTTTCTAGGAGTGGGCGTTATATATATATATAATAGTAAAGGAACACATAGTTGTATAGAGAAGGTTACCACGTTAGTAGAACTTTCCGTGCGAGGTGAGAAACACTTTATCATGGACATCCTCCGTTAGTAGAACACTATACATATATATAGATACATATATATATCCAAAAGTCTGCAGAACGGTTTGGCCCATTACTGAATCTTTACGACGCTTCTTCGTGGAAACCTTGCACTAGCAAAGTATTGTATTTTTGCCCTTCTCTTTTAATTGAAACATTAATCTTCCTTTCCTTTCGTCCTTTCTTTCTCATTTCCCCAAACTCTCGTTGGTTGTATACACGCGGATACGATACACCTAATAAACATCCTTTTCCTTTACAACCCTTTCAATTTCTTTTTTATTTTTTTTTTTTATTTTCAATCCTATTCATTAAAATGGTAAATTAAATTTATCATTCATAAGAATTTTCTAAATTTATTGTGAATTTTAAACAAGTAGAATACATTTTTGTCAATTAAATACAACCGTTATGTGAATTTATGATGAAGATTTCTGATACGTACAGGTGTATTATAAAACTATATAATAGTTTATATCTGAAGCAATCAATAAATCATAGTATTTTAATAATGTTAACCTAGTTATCTGTTACTTAAGTTAGAAATAATCAAATCAAATGTTAAATTGATAATCTTTAGATTTTTATCTTTGATTATATTAGAATTCGTATCATTTCGATTTTCGATAATTTCATTAAAAAAAAAAAAAGAAAAAAAAAACCTAATAATATTTCTACGAAAAGACGATGTGTCGAATCGTGTCATGGATTATAACATAATCGATTCGTAAGAAGGAAGACCGATCGTGGTTTATCTTCTGAATAAAAAAAAAAAAAGTGCAAACTTTGCACTGCAAGATTGAAAGTTAACATTATTTCTCTCGTAAAGAGAATAAATTATATTTCAGTATATGAGAAACATGATTTCTTAAATAAATATAACAAATATCATTTTGATCTTATTTCTTGTTTGTTGTTGTTGTTGTTGTTGTTGAATTTTCCTCGTTGATTTAACACACAAAACATTTGAGAATGAAAAAAATATTATTGGATTGTTCGTAAAGTAATTATTTTCATTTATCTTTTGTAAAAATGAAGATAATTTTCGTGTCGAGATTAAACCTAGGCCTTTAAAGTTGACTTAAACAATTAAAATTTGATAAATTTAAGATCTCATTGATCTTACGTGTTAATATTTTTTGATTTGCATCAACTAATGTCTTTATTGTGTCAATAAAAAATGAAATTACTCTGCGAACAATTCAATATTACTTCGATTGTTAAATATGTTAAGAAATGATCATTCAACAATTTCTTTCGATTTTTATCAAAATCCTCCTTTTTCTCACAATTTTCAATAAATATCAAATGTAACGTGATACGTATCGATAATTTTATCGATCGTCGTAAGTAAATCTTTCAAATGGAAACATATTGTATAGGAATAAGAATCAAATTTCACTCATGAAATATTGACAACAGAAAGAATATATAAGAATAAGAATAAAAATAAGTATTGGAATAAGAAGAAGAAGAAGAAGAAGAAGAAGAAGAAGAAGAAGAAAAAGAAGAAGAAGATTATTCGAAACGTTATTTGAGTCGATTAAAATGAAAAGTATTCGGAAAGATATTATATTTGAAATTTTATTCAATCGGATGAACGAAATTATTATACTATATCGAATAGAAATCGAGAAAGATATTATTATGAGCTTGGCTAAGACGAAGATATGAAAATATCACGATATTTTCAGATAATCGGTATATTTACATGCACACACACACACACACACACACATACATACATATATGAATATCTCATATCTCTTATCTCATAAATGTTGAACGTGAAATATCATGGCAGATGAATAAAGTGGAAAGTTGCTTTAAGCCGGTAAACGGTTCGATCGTTTTCCTCTACTCGTTTAAACGTTCAACATCGATATCCTCTTTTCCGACGACAAAAGAGAGTCCTATTGCCATGAGGGTGGTGGGCTGATAGAAATGAGGGGTAAGAGTAAGGGAAACTGACGGTGACGAAGCCCGAAGAAGTATGAGAACACCGTAAAAAGAAAAAGAGAGAATGAGAGAGAGAAAATCAAGCTAGGATATCGAATGAGAAACGCGCGACTACTTTCTCCTTAACTTTAAAGTTAGAACATACTAACTTCTTTTTCACTCACTGGAAAGTAACTCTCTGTAAGTTTTAAAGAATGATTTGCATAGGAGGTGTAAAGAGAGAGAGAGAGAGGGAGAGAGGGAGAGGGAGAGAACAATTTTCCTTTTTTCTTTTTTTATCGAAAGAAGAATATTCAAATTTTACGATTGTCTGCTTTTTCTTTTTTTTTTTTTATTAAATTTGTGTTATAACCAATACCTTTGTGCAAAAATTTTACAATACTTGATGATATATATATTCAATTTTTTTTTATAGATTACTAATAAATAATATTGTGAAATATTATAAATATAATTATCTGATTTGTAAAAATAATATTTTTATTTTGTTGTTGTTATGCAAGTGTAAGGAACCTGGAACTTTGTACAAAATTTCAGATATTTTTATTCATTTTTTTTACAATATATATTTTTATAGATTACTAATAAATAATATTGTAAAATATTACATTAATTGATATAATCGTCTAATTTGTAAACTAATCTTTTTATTTTCTATTTTTTGTTATGCAAGTGTAAGGAACTTGGAACTTTGTGTAAAATTTCAGATATTTTTATCAATTTTTTGTTAGAATATATATTTTTATAGATTACTAATGAATAATATTGTAAAATATTACATTAATTGATATAATCGTCTAATTTGTAAACTAATCTTTTTATTGTCTATTTTTTGTTATGCAGGTGTAAAGAACCTGGAAGATACCTGAATGATCTTCCACCAACCGCTGTGATAATTTGTTTTCACAACGAAGCCTGGTCGGTTTTGTTAAGGACAGTACATTCTGTATTGGACAGATCACCGGATCATCTTATACAAGAAATTATTCTCGTTGATGATTATTCAGATATGCGTAAGTAATTAAACCTTTCACGATTTAACACCTATTTTATATTTAACATTCATTATAAAAATACAAAACATAAAACGATCAATTATTTAACGATAAGTTAATTAAACATTAACTTTCAAGAAGAACACCACTGACAATTTCAAATAAAATAATAGAAAATTTTAGAAGACACCCTTTTTATAACATGTATTGTGTACACTAATTTTATGAACACTTATTTTCAAAAATGTTACTAAACAATTAACAAAATTGAATTATTTCTTTGATACATTTTAATGTCTCTCATTTAATTATAACAATTAAAAAAAAAAAGCCACATTTTTAATAATCATTATCATAAATCGTAATTATTAACGATTTATTATTATTCAGTTCGCATAACAGGTTCGTTGACTTATTAGTAGTATTACTCCATGATTTGAAAATAGATGAATTAATTGCAATTTATGTCTGTTTCTCGTTCAGTCAAAATATAACCAAGCTCTCGATATGAATAGAGAATCGAATCATCCCTTCGCCTATCTTTCTCTATTTCTCTTGTTCCCTTTCTCCCTTCACTCACCACCACCACCACCCCTCTACCTTTTATGTATCCATTCCCGTATCATATTTCGATAGAAAATTTCCAAATGTCGATACGCATTGATAACCGATCTCTATACACAATCTGCTGCAATTTTTTTTTCTTTTTTTTTTTTTCATGAGTTATACAAAAAGAAACCCTTTTTTTTTAATTTTCTTCTTTTTTTAGTTTCTACTATTCACACACACACACTATTTTATTTTTTCTTCTTTTTGTTTTTCGTTAAACAAAAAGGGGTTAAAATAGTATCGATGGTTCGTCGAAAAAGATGATATATATATATATATATTACTATTATACATATTACAAAATAATATATATTTAATATATATAAATATATAATATATTATTATAATATAAATAAATATAATTTAATATATTATCATAATATATATAAATATAAT